ACCTGGTGCCATGTGACTGTTGCCTATAATGGCTTTTGCTATTCTAGGTCTCTTGTGGTTCCAAATGAATTTTTGAATTCTTTTTTCTAGTTCTGTGAAATATAGTGTTGGAATTTAAATATCTTGGAAACAACCTATTTGCCCATCCGTTGGAAACTGGATAAAGAAGTTGTGGTTTTTCTATAAAATGGAATATTACTCAGCCATAAAGAGCGAGAGAATAGATTCATTCATAGGAAAATGGATACATATTGAAGATATACTCCTAAGTGAAATACATAAGTCACACATGTGTAAATACCGAATAGTTTCCCTGGTGTGAATAATCTGCAATAATATGTAAGATCCTAATAAGATTACTGACATTTAGAAATGGGAAGAAAGGAGCTAAAGGTGTAGGGAAGGTGGGATGGGTTTCACATTTTGACAGTATTGGTTCTGTCTGTTGGAACAAATGATATCTTCCCATTTCTAATGTCCTTTTTTAATCTCCTTTTTCAGAGTAATCTAGCTTTCCTTATAGAGGTCTTTCAATTCCTTGATTAGGTTTTCCTGAATATAATAAAAAAAAAAAAAAAAAAAAGAAATAGGATCATTTTGACAGTATTGGTTCTGTCTGTTGGAACAAATGATATCTTCCCATTTCTAATGTCCTTTTTTAATCTCCTTTTTCAGAGTAATCTAGCTTTCCTTATAGAGGTCTTTCAATTCCTTGATTAGGTTAATTCCTGAATAATTACTTTTCTTGAAGCCACTATGAATACTGTTGTTTTCCTTTTTGGAGGGTTTATTATTGGTAGACAGGAGTGCTATTGAATTTTATCTATTCATTTTGTATTCTGCTACTGTGCTGAATTTTTTGTTTTGTTTTGGTTTTGGAGACAGGGTCTCACTTTGCAGTAGAGACTGACCTGGAACTCACTATGTAGCACAGGCTGGTCTCGAACTCACAGCGATCCTCCTGCCTCAGCCTCCCAAGTGCTGGGATTACAGGTGTGCGCCATGACGCCCAGCTTGTGCCGAATTTATTAATTCTAGCAGTCTTGGAATTTTTTTGGTCTCCATGTCATCTGTGAATACGAGTAGTTGGATTTCTTCCTTTCTTATATGTATCCCTTATATTTCATTCCCTTGCCTGATTGTCCTGGCTAAAGTTTCAAGTACTTCATCAGTATGGAGGAGTGGTGATAGCAGACATCCTTGTCTTGTTGCTGATTTTAGAGGAAAAACTTACATTTTTTCCCCCATTTAATATATTGTTGGCAGGTTGGCCATAAATAGCTTTTATCAAATTGAGATAATTTTCTTCTATACTTATTTTCTTCAGGGTTTTTATCGTGAATAACTGTTGGGTTTTTGTCAAAGGCTTTTCTGCGTCAATTGAGATGATCATGTGATTTTTGTCCTTGCTTCTGTTTATGTGATATATTACATTTATCGATTTGTGCATGTTGAACCTTGGATGAAACCTACTTGATAATGATAGATGATCTTTTTAATGATTTGTCACATTCTGTTTGCTAGTATTTTGTTGGGGATACTTGCATCTATGTTCATTAAAGAGATTGGCCTGCAATTTTCTTTTTTAGTTGGGTCTTTGTCTGGTTTTGGAGTCAAGCTAATGCTAGCTTCTTGGAATGAGTTGACAGTGTAATACTCTTGCCTTTTTAATTTCATTTTAGAGTTTGAGGATTATAGATCTTCCCTGAAGTTTTTGTAGAATTCAGTGGTGAATCCACTAGGTCGTAGGCTTTTTTATGGAGTACTTTTTATTACTATACAGTTTGATAATATATATCTGATAAAATTTCTTTCAAGTTGGTTGATTTTTCCATAGGGTTTCTCAGAGCTACCTTTCTAAATGTTTTCCATTCTTAAATATTGACTCCTGTCTTCAAATGGTTAAATGGTCTTATCTCTTAGTTTGAAATTAAAATCATGTATGTTAAATTATTTTAACTTGCAGGTTCCTAGTTGGGGAAAATTTACCATTGAAATGGAATGAAGAAATTTTTCAAGGTATCATGTATTTCTTAGTAGGTCAAGACTTAGTAAAGCAACTAAAACCAGGTAATTTACAGAAATTATGTATTTAAAGATAGAAAACTGGGACTAATGATTAAAGGAAGTAAAATTCTACATTGAGGAAATCTTTAAGGAGTAAGCTGAGAAGATGTGCAGCTGATTGCTGGGCATTCTTTTTTCAGGACGTGGACTAGAGGAAGCCTTTAGGCTGGAGCCTAGGGCTTGAGTGTGAAATTGGAAATATGAGGGACCTTTAAACAGAGAAACCCCCCTCTTCAGTTTATTTGTTAAATTCCATTGCCCAGTTTGGGCAGAAGAGATAAACTACAATCTCAGAAAAGGAGATTGAGATTCCTTCTAGTTCTGTGACATTGAGATAAAGATTCACTAGGGGTAGGAGAGCAACCTTGAGAACAAACAACAGGTGAGAGTTGAGAGGAAGTAGTGAGTACACATTGATGATTTTCATCTTACACACCAGTTTTCCTCCTCTAGTCATTTTCCAGAGTTTGATGCTGTCTAGCCTCAGAGGCTGAAGAGCTAAATTCAGAATTCTTTTAAAAGCAACTATCAGTTTCTTATGGTATGTAGGTAGTAAGACGATAAAGACTTGGCTATTCTTTCAAATGAAGGCCCTCCGGAGACTCACCTTAGAACAGGGACAAACCAAGTTAGTTATACCAGAACTGTAGAATGTGGCTGGTCTGAATTGAATCATGTGGGTGTGAAATAGCAGATTTTGAGTTTGTAGATAGTTTAGCTGAGTATCTGAAGCTAGGTGCATCATTCTAATCTCGCTGTCTGATGAATTTATTTTCAGGCACAACTAACCTTGATTGTATAAGGAGCTCAAGATTTAATGGTGGTCCTTTTTAGTTATCCACATTATCTCCAGATTACATAGAGTGTATTGTTGTGACTAAGAACTTGTGCTCTAACATTGTGCTCAGTCAGAAGTATTGGCACTGAAAACTTGTGTGATCATGATGTGTTAGCTGTTAATTGTCCTTTGCACTCAAAGCATCTATCTCTTCATGGTCACCTGCTTCTTCACAGGTCTTCTTAACATCTCTCTTGTAACTCTTTCACATGTAATATTTTCCGCTTTCCAATTCTCCATTCTGTTACCACTCCAGTTAGATCTTTAAAACTGCTTATTCCAGGACTGCCTATTTCTGCTTATTGGCCTCAATGATGTGGAGATTTTACAGGTACATCAGATTTAGCTTGATTGAAATAACAATGTTTCTCCAGTACTTCATCTTTTGCTCAGTTATATTTTAATTCTTAACTTTTTCTTCATCTTTAAGTTCTGTCCTTGTAATCTTCCTAGTAAGTCTTCTTGCTTCAGTGTACTACTATTTTCTGAAAGTTGATGTCTCTGCAGTTAGATATTTCACCTGCCGTTCCTGTCTTTCCAGTGTCATTCATTCCCTTGCTACAGTATTCTTTCTACCTTCCCAACCAAAAGCTGTTTCCACGTACAGAACAAAGTAGGATTGAGAATAATAAACAGGTAAGTACAGGCTTAATAGATAACGTTAAAAATGTTGAATTCAAGAAGGAATGAATAAGTAGCATGTAGCCTTAAAGGAAGCTTAAATGTTTCATCAGGAAAAACTGACATCTGTGCCAAAAATTAAGATTAGCCAGGCAAAGTGCCACAGGGCATTAGTCCCAGCTACTGTAGAGACTGAGGCTGGAAGACACTTTGAGGCCAGCTAAGGCAGCACAGCAAGGGGTTCTTTTTTATGTACCCATACTGCTTATTATACTTTCTCTTAGGTTGTTGTATATATTTTAATCATAGAACTTTTCTTCATTAGTCTTTGACCATCCTGAAAAGATGAATAAATTACTGTTATTCATTCTTCTGTTCCCTTTTGTTTAGCATGGAGTCTCAGGTGAACGTATTTTTTTTTAAACGAGAACACTAGGATTACAGAGATATTAGAGTGGAAATGCAGATTGGCTAGATTAGAAATTAATCTTAGTATCTAATTTCTGAAAACTACTGAGTTCTTTGTAAATTATTCTATTACAATATATTTTAATTACTTAAAATATATTGGAAATGTATTTATATATTGTCAGATCATTAAAATTGTTTATTTAGGACCAAAATGAAAATGTAAGCATCGTTTTTATAAAGATATACTTAAGCCAAGATTTTAGCATTTGGTGTTTTTTATTATTTATTTATTTATTTTGTTGTTCTTAAAATATGAAGACTATAGGAATCTTCGATTTTGTTGTTGTTATTGTTTTGTTTATTTGTTTTGTTTTGTTTTTGTTTTTTTGATACTGGGGATCAAACTCGGATCCTTGTGCTTGCGAGGCAGGCTGCAGAACCACTGAGCTAAATTTCCGGCCCTTGTTGTTGTTATTGGTTTGTTTGTTTTTTGTGGCAGGGTCTTCCATTGTAGTGAGGCTGGCCTCGAACTCCAGGGGATCCTCCTGCTTTAGCCTCCCAATTGCTGGGATTACAGGTGTGCTCCACCACATCTGGCCACACCTTCGATTTCTGAAAAGAATGTTCTTTATTAAATATGGCAGATTGAACATATATGTATTTTCTTTCCTTGTATATCTCAAAATGTAAACAGTTTTGAAGGGCTAAGAAAAAGTGGGAGAGAAAATGAGAAAGAGGTTACCTGTGTTTTGGGATGTAAATCACAGGAATGTGCTCATTGACATAGTGGTACCAGAAAGTGTCTTAAGTTCCTGTGTAAAGGACTGGAGAGCAAAGAGAGAAGAAAATAATAAAAATAGTGAAAATAAGATTCTTGGGATTACCTGGCATGGTGGTACACACCTGCAATCCCAGCACTTGTGGGAGGCTGAGGCAGAGGCAGAGGCAGGAGGATAGCCCGGAATTCGAGACCAGCCTGCGCTACACAGTGAGTCTTAGGGCAGTCTAAACTACATAGTGAGGCCTTGTCTCAAAACAAACAAAAGCAAAAAAAGATTGTCAGGATTTAGGATCTGAAAAGTACACAGAAAAGTAAAGAAAAAAAACAGATAGTCATGGTAGTATGAAATTTTATAACCACAGATAACAAGAAAATACTCAAGCTTTGAGAGGGGAAAAAATGGTTTAAATCCCAATTGAAAGATCAGAAGTAAGAGTTACATGGGACTTAGAGCATCTGCAGCAGATGCTAGGAAACTGAGGAGCTTGGCTAATTCTGTGTGAACTGATAAGGAATAACTACAGGAAATAAAATTAGTGAAAAAAATCAAGGAATACAATAGCATTTTATATAGTTTGCTACTTCTATATAGGAAAAAGGTGGGAATGTGGATAGATGGGTACATACATGGTTGTAAAATACTGAATAGACAAAGCCAACAACTTTATGAAAATGGTTCTTTTTGGGGGGAAAGAAGGAAATAGAGTAGCAAATAGAGAAGAGGTTTCTCTGAATAGAGTATACTTTGTTGTATAGGTTGACTTTAGAATCCTATAAATATATTACATATTCAGTATAATATTAAACCACAATAAAAGCTTGAAAATTAAAGACACAACTAATTCTACCTGAATTGGTGACAACCCTACTTAGAAAATAGTTATTTCAGGTGTTACAACACAATACAGAATTTTAATCATCCTTTGTTAGAGTTGTAAATAAGTCTTTAACTTTATTCAGTAATCTTAGTTTTAGAAGCACTATTGACATTATTTGAAATTATATGTATTTTGTAATGTAATGCAAATAGGTGATCATACATCTGTACAAAACTCAAAATATTCAGTGCCAAACAAAAGAAAAAAATATCAACCATAGATTTATAGTACACTGAATGGTGAACCCTCTGAAAGGTAAGTCTGTGTGTTAATCCCAGGAACCTGTAATTTTATTTGGGAAATGGGTTTTTGCAGATGTAGTTGCTAAGAATCTTGAAGTGAGATTGTTCTGGATTACCATAGGTGGCAATAAAGCCAATGACAAAGGATACACAGAGAAGAGAAAATGATGTACAGACAGAGATAGAGATAGGAGTATAGCCACAAGCCAAAGAAGCCCAAGGAATGTTGAGCAGCCAACAAAAGCTTCTAGAGGTAAGGAACTATCTCATCTAGAGTTTCCATAAGAAGAGTGGCTTTGTCTACTCTCTGTGTTAGATTTCTGGCCCCACCGCTATAAGAGAATAAATCTGTTGTTTAAGCCATCAAGTTTGTGGTAATTTGTTATAGCAGCCTCAGGAAACAAATCAGAAAATCCCTGAAATTAAAATGAAAGACTTAAACATTTAACCTAACTTCGCTTAAGAAACTGTTTTAGGATTAAATACATAGCCCTGATTGATGAGGAAAAGTTCTTTGTAAAAGAATTAAAGCTAACAAATATGGAGGGAATAGAATTAGAAAATAACCTTAATAAAAATAATAGATTAAGGGCGGTGATAATTATTAGATGAAAATATTGAATGGAAAGGATGATAGAGGAAGTTTTTTATACACAAACTTGTGCTTTCTGTATCACCAGCCGATCATTCTTAGCACTGTTAATGTGGGCAGCCAAACATTATTGGCCTGTGGATATCTGATGCAGTGTGAACCACATAAGAAATACAATCAAGTTGAAATAGAATCTAATTGTATGTAGAGCTAATCTCTATTATATAAGATAGAGAAGTTTATGACACCAGAAGGAAACCAGACAACTCTAGGATATAAGATTATCTAGAGACCAGCTGACCATGTTTTCCTCAATTTCATGAGCGGGGAAAAGAAGTAGAGGAAGGACTGCTCCAGATTAAAAAAAGACTTAGGCATAATATATAAATTAACTGTCTAGACTTTCTTTTGGATCCAGACTCAAACCAACTGTAAAATGAGATTTTTGAATTAGCTAGGCAAATTTGGGGTAATGGGTGATTCCGGGTTATGAAAATGATTGGGAAAGATTTCCATAGTTTTAATAGATGGATACCAAATTCTATGGAAATAAAATGACATTATCTAGGATTTGCTTTATTTTGCTTAAGAAAAATTATGATAGAACCACATTTTGATCATTACAGTAAGTAGAAGTAGTAGTGTTGTTTGAAAAAAAAAGTAAATAGCAGGGGCTGGGGATTTAGCTCAGGTGCCTCCACCTACCTTGTTAGCGCAAGGACCCAAGTTTGATCCCTGGTACAAAAACAAAAAAAATTAATAGCATTGTGAATAAAAATGATTTCCAGTGTAGTAGTTGGAAAGATTTCTACATTATCTCCCATATCTTTCTCAAGAATGAACATATTCGTTGAAAAAATGGATTCAGATAACAAAGACAAAAATATTAAATAGGATAACAGTATGCCTTGGGTCAGAGCAGTTTGGAGTGGGCAGATATAAGACTTTAGGATGTGAGTGCTCCATGAATAATCTAGCTGATTTCTGATAATACTGTATGGGAGTTTTTCACTACGTGGAAAATTAAGTTGAAGGATGCAGAAAGAATTTGTGATAGAGGCATAGAAAGCTAAATGAAAAAAATGGAGAATACAAAAAGAAATACACTTACATATTTTACTAATGATAACAATATTATGTACATAGTTATTTAAATGCAATTGAGTGATAATTATTTTGTGGCAGGAGGAAGGAGAAGTAAGGAGTACAAGGGAAATAAATCCTTATTTCCCACTGGAAAATCTATAGATTAATATCAGTATTTGATATTTCAGGTTACCATTATAACCTTAAATAGTGAAAATATTTTAAAGAATTTTATATTGAAGGAAGAGGAACTTTGCTCTCACTATGTGTGTTACTACTTAGATATAAATGAAATTGTAATAAGTTAAAAAAGAGGCTGAGGATAAGGATCCTGTCAAGGACATGTAAAAATGAACTGAGTATTCTCTACAGACTCTTTCATAAAAAAAAAAATCTTGTAGTTTACTTCACACTTGATGCCTTTCTCTTTATGTATCTTCTGATTTTGCTTTGTGATACTTCTTCAATCATGAAAACTTAAATTGGGGAGAGTGGACCTGTAATTTTTTGATGTAATTTTGTTAAATCTTTTAAGGATAGATTGAAGTTCTAAAAATGAGGAAAACTTGCTTCAAGACTTGAGTCCCTGTAACACTGTCTTGTCTTTAGAAAGGTTTGTTACCACAATTCATTTAAATAAGTAAAATCAACATTTCCATGAGCAGAAAACAGAATGTCAGAAAGTTTAAGGTGAAAGTAGTAATTTGAATTTCTATGTTGTCTTGTAGTTTGCTTTCTATAATATATTGAAGTCATTCCTCGATTTTAAAGTTAGTCTTTAAATTATCTTTTCTAGGATAGATTCAAGAAGCTCTTTCTATAGTGCGGATTGTTCCCTTTAGTAAGAGCATGTCGTCCATCTTGCCATTCACTCCACCAGTCGTGAAGAGACTTTTAGGATGGAAGAAATCAGCTGGTGGGTCTGGAGGAGCAGGCGGAGGAGAGCAGAATGGACAGGAAGAAAAGTGGTGTGAGAAAGCAGTGAAAAGTCTCGTGAAGAAGCTAAAGAAAACAGGACGATTAGATGAGCTTGAGAAAGCCATCACTACTCAAAATTGTAATACTAAATGTGTTACTATACCAAGGTAAGTTGCTTGATCTGAAGTTTGATGATCTGCTGTTGAAAATTGCCTTTACAAACCTCAAGAAAAACTGTTCACTTTTTGTTACTTTCAGGTCACCTGTAAATAGTGATTATTGAAATATGACTGTTTAACCTGTCATATTAATTTTTTTTACTAGTTGGCTTGTTTATTTTACAAACCATTTTCTTGAGCAATGAGGTTTCCTCAAGCAAAATAGAAGATATTTAGAAATAGTTATTTTAATCTTCATTGCCCAAGTTTGTATATTTCTCATTTCTGTGATGGAATGATGTTTGAATAAAGATTTAAAACTATTACTGGTAGGTAGTGACCGATAGTTTTTTACTCTCTCACTGAAAACTTGAGTCAGTAAGGAGCTGCAAGAGACTTCTGACTTTTTAATGAATGTTATATATTTCTTGGCTTTGAGTTGCATTGTTGTTTCCAAGAAAGAACAGTATGTGAGGCAACTTCTTAAATGTATGTAATAGTCAGAATCTATCGGAAAGACTGACCTCTTATATTGGAAGGACCTGGTACTAAAGAAGTTGAAGTTTTGAGTATAAATTTGATGATTTGCAGATGAGTACCCCTATAAAGTAGATTTTTGAAAAAATGAAGTGGCCAATGGTTTTTAAATATATTTGTTTTCTGTGTGCATTACAGGGTTTTTTTGAGTGTCAAAAATAAAGAATTCTCTAAAATGAATGCAATATCATATGTGGGCTTGCGTAAAGCATGTGAAACTGTTCTACTTTTGTCTAGTGAACTTTGATAAACACATTCCTGATGCTTAACAATAACAGATCCCAGTGATGCAAGCTTGTCTACTTGGAAATGCTCACAGTAGAGTAGACTGTTTCCTACCTTGTTTGGTAGGCTAATTATCCATTTGTTACCTTACTTGTTTCATGTGTATTTTAAATAGGTCACCTTTCTTGGGTTATTCTTTTGTGTGGAATTACCTGCTATATATGTGAGGCTCTTTCTAGACACAAGGATGATAAAGCAAAAATTTCCTGCCCTCCTAAGGGATAGATACGCTAAACAAGTAAACAGATCTAACACAAACACAACAGATGTGGCAATATGATAGGTAACGCCTAAAGGATGAAAAAAGCTTTAGGATTTTGATGCTTGAGGTGAGTTTTTTGCGGATCTGGATCTAGCTGAAGAATCTTCTAGGCAGAGGAGAGAGCCAGCATATATAGTGACTCTGAGGTGGAAAATAGCTTCTCTTCTTGGAATATTTAAAAGAAGGTAGAGTACAAAACATGGTAGGAATCTAATCAGGTCATTGTAAGGTGCTATGGGAGTTAAATGTTGGTCTAAAAAAGGATTTTTAAATGAATTTTTAAAAATCCCATGTTTTAAAGGATTTAAAATTTTTTTTTTCATTTTACCAATATCACTGGCTGCTAGAGAAAGATACCATAGGGTATTGTGTGTGTGTGTGTGTGTGTGTGTGTGTGTGTCAGAGAGAGACGGGGGGTAGGTTGGATGCTACCAGAAAAGTCAGCTAGGGTGCTGTGAAAGTAGTCTACATGCAGAATAATGGAGATGAAAGAGGGCTGTGTTAGCAGTAAAGTGAATGGACTCCAAAACATAAGCAGAACTGGCATGTCTTCATAGTGAATTGGCTAAGAATAACTTAAGCTGTGTTAATCTTTCATTGTGTGGGTGGTGGCATTTCAGTTGAGGAAATGTTTATTAAATGGTCACTGCATGACTGATAAGATTGTCCTTGCTGGGGTTTGCTTTTGAGTTGTTTGCTTTCAATAAGGGAGAGAAACTTTAAAACAGAAAATAAAAATTGTATAAAATGTGATGATATTGTGAAACAGGTATGTTCAGGGAACTACATCCTGAGAAGGCTTATTGGAACTTTCTCTTTAAAAGAATATTGTTGGGGTTAAGTCTAGATGGTGCAAAGGTGGAATTACTTAGAAGTGTGTTTCGTCAGTAGTGGCACTGTGGAATGAATATTGTGGCGATCAAGGAAGATTGGTCAAGGGTTCTCAGGAAGGAGTTATCTTTAGAGTGTAGAGTTTGGGGTGCTGCAAGAGATGCCAGGGGTGACTCTGAATGTAGTCTGGAATTACAGCAGGTGTGTTTGGGGTTTACAATCATCTTGAGTGTGTCTGTAGTGTGGAGACAGTGGAAAGGCTTAGGTCCAGAAGCCCAGCCGTCAGATTAAATTTCAAGTAACAGCATCTGACTCTTATTGAGGAAACAGAATAGTGAGGCTGTCGCAAATGGAGTTAGGGAGACCACTTAGCATCTCAACAAAGGGAGCTCATTGATCCGTGCAGAGATGGAATGTGGCTTTGCTCAGTTCCATTTTGGGCTCACATTGCCATTGTAGCATTGGGCCCACAGAGAACCCAGAGGGTAGAGCTCTTTCAAGGAGATATAGCAGGTAGTGAATAGCTTGGTGATTACAAGTAACTCCATGGGTATTTATACTGTGAAGGTCAACTTAGTCACATTTCTTTTCCTTATTTTTCGTTCATTCTGTGGCATATTCTAAAAATTTCTCTTTATATTTTAAAGCTTCTTCATTATATTTTTTCTGTACTTTTTTAGCTAATTAATGAAGCAATCATTGCTCATTACCTTGTTTTTCAGAATCCAGAGTTCCTTGAAGTTTGAAGTTTACCTATCTAATTTGGTGTGTGTGTGATGTAGATTTTTAGTGTTGACTGTCACCAACTCCTTACCCTGTTGTTGAGTGCCATATATTTTCTAACTTTTTAGGAGAGCAGTTATCTCTTAAGTATTAACTGTCCTTAGACATAATAAATTTTAGATGTAGAGTGTAAAATATGGGAGTAGCAGAGAAAAAGCTTTGTTATGGATAAATGCAAACAGTTTAAATAGAAAATTTTAAATGAGATATAAAATAGATTTAGTGAAGCTCACTTACTTAAAATGGCAAGTAAGGTATTAATACCTTAAGATTTTCAGACTTAAAAATACAAGTAACTCAATAGATGAACATGAGAAACAAATTTCTGAGTTAAAAGGCAAGTGTTTTCAGCTAAAATACGTGTTTTGTTGACTTTTAGCAATTTCTACCCTTGTTCTCTTTGTCCCACTAATATTAAATAAGATTATCAGGTTCTTAGGGGCTTGAACTCCTAGTGATGTATGCATGGTTGTCCGGTGCCACTCATTGGGACAGTCGTGTGTACCAGTGGTGGTTTAGAGCCACCTGACAGTGAGACATACGAATTATGACCCTATCATGAATGTGTTTAAATGAGAAATATTTCTGGCTTTATAATCCTCCCAGTCCTCTCACCTAATTACTCTTGCCACATCTGAAGGTTTAGAAGTTTGCAGTTCGAGATATACATCACTACTGCTTCCTTCCTTCCATTGTATGTGGTGACACAAAATAATTCAGGGACAAAACTGAACCTGGCAAACTGCAATAGGCTAAGTAACATTAAGTTTCATGAGGCTTTTTTGTCTAAAAATTTTTAAGACTAAGGGAAATTTTCATGAGACAACTCAGTCATGCAATAGAATGGCAACTGATATTTAGTAAAGAATCAGATGTGAGAAGAAAAAATGGCTTTTGGTGCATATTAGCTTATAATAAAGCAAAATCCAAACTTGGAATGGAGTTCTGCAAAAATTAAAAACAGGTTACTGCAGTGTTCAAAGTGGTAGTTTTATAATAACTATTATACATATGTGTAGAAATTTTAAAATGTTTTTCATAAGCATAAGTTATGAGGGCTTTCTTAAGGTAGTGATTTGGCCATATAATTGCATATTTTTATCTTTTATCCTAAGGAAACAGGAACACTCAAAGATTTCTGATGTCTTTCATTATTGTTTATAGTAGCAAAGAACCAATCCTGACCCTTGGTTTCCTTAACACCAGTTATGAAAATGTTTCAAACTCAAACCACAGCTGTTGAACAAGGATAATAGAAGAAAAATTTCTTCCAGTCTCACTTATAAACATAGATGCAAAAGTTATAAGTTTATATCTGAAACTATGAAAAAGTGAGCTTATTTAAAAAAGAAAAAACAGGAAAACATGACAAGATAGTTAATGGCAGGCATCTGAGGATGATTCAGCTACAGGAAATCTATTAAGATAACCACATAATCATATTTAAGAAGAATTTGATCACTTTAATGAATCTGGAAAAAGCATTCTTATTAGATTCAGTATTCATGTTAACAAATAGGGAATTTTCTTAGTTTTATATAGCACATATCTAAAAATGTTCCTCAATCGTGAAACTTGGGAGAGAAGTTCAGTATGCTAAATTGTTATTACATCTGTGGAGTACCTTTAAAAAAATCCTGTAATTTTTCCTAGTATTTAAATACAAAAGTATGTTCTATCTTAAAAGCTAGCATAATTAAATGTTTAAATAGGGATTTTTTTATTTTGAGACAGTGTCTTGCTATGTAGTTCAGGCTGACCTTGAACTTACTATGTACCCAGGCTATCCTCCAACTCATCTGGTATTACAGGCATGTGCTACCATGCCTGCGGGCAATTTAATTCTTGTCTATATAAATTAAAGCTGCTTACTTTTTGTATTCTTGAGAGCTTGTTTGGAGATTCTAGCAGGGGAGCGCAGCTACTTGTATACCCTTGCCAAGGAAACAGTCCTCCTCTGCTGGGGGCGGTCATCCTCTTTGAGTGTGGGAGGGACACACAGAGTGGTGAGAGAGGAAGGGGACACCTACCTAGCCATCCAGATCAGCAAAATCAACCCTGGTGATCCGTGGGGTGACATATGTTGCAGTCAAATTGCCCTCACATCCTTGTATTTTTATTTTTTATTTATTTATTTGTTACTGGGGATTGAACTCAGGACCTTGCGCATGTGAGGCAGGTGGTAGAACCACTGAACTAAATCCCTCGGCCCTGTAATTTCAATTTTTAACACCTGACGCAAAAAGCAGCATCTTTATTGTCCCATTAATTTAATATATTGACTTCTGGAAAATAATAGTCACCACTATAT